GAAAATTCTTCTGTCTAAGGCATGCAGATTTGCTCCTGTTCCCACGTGAATCCCAGCAGCTCTCCACCAGAGTGCCAAGGTTTCTTGTTCAGAACAAGAATACCTCATGTTCTCTCTTTTTTTCAAATATTAAACTCGATTGCCTAACCTGAAGCAACTTTTCACCTTCAAAGCACAAGGGACCATCCCTGTAGGTGCTTGGGGTTTCCATTAGAGCTAAGCAGGGAACAGATGCGCCCATCAGAGTGTTACTAAAGAGCTAATGTAAAACCACTGACACTTTTTAAGGAAAAGGTAGTTTAATGGGTGCTGTTGTTCAATGACAGGCATGCCGCAAGTTTCGGGATGATGCTACATGCAAGGACACGTGTCCCCCATTGGTCCTGTATAACCCCACCACCTATCAGATGGATGTCAACCCCGATGGAAAATACAGCTTTGGAGCCACTTGTGTGAGGGAATGTCCACGTAAGTTCATTTTGGGTCACAGCCACAGAGGAGGTGGGGGGTTGGAGGGAGGTGGGAAGGGATGTGCATCATACCTCTGCATTACGGCCAAGTGCAAGAGCACTTTCTTGTTCTCCTCAGCTTCTGTAGGAACCAGGAACAGGTGCCAAAAATGAGAGAATAGCTGGTAAACAAGACAGCTGCTTCAAACTGGCTGCATTCATCACCTTTCCTGATTTAAAAATCAGTATTTAACCACTACATTTTGACTTCTGAAGATTTTTTGTGTTGATGGAGAAAAAAAATCATATGGGAGTCATCAAAACAATGGCCAAACAAGTCATATGGGATCAATCCTGTGGATTACCAAAGCATTATCAACTCTTAACTGTTTCTTAATTAGGACTGATAGAAACTAATTGGTTCAAACACTCCCTCTCAAGGCCTGTGATCATTGCTTCCTCAACAGATGCTTGCTTTTTCTTTCATGCTATTCCATGTCCGTGGTTTTTTAACCCATCGAGACTTACATGTAAGAGAGGGATTAGCTTACAGAACTGATATCCCTTTCTGAGGTTGACCATTGCCCTGCCTGGCCCTTAGCTTGGAAGAGTGAGTGAAGGTGAGGGATCAGAGGTGCTGTGTATTGATCCTGATTATGGCACTGCTGCACAGCCTGGCCTTTGCAATGTTGTTTTACTCTTCTGTGACCATTCCCCTCTCTGTTATAATGGTGATAGCATTGGATGTCTGTCTACCTTCAAAGGATGTTTGTGAGAATTAATAACTACCGCCTGTACTTTGCTAAGTATGCCAAAAGTTCAAACCACCTTTTTCTTCCCAGTACTGAAGTGCTTGTGCAGCCCCAAATGCATCCCTCTCATACTTAGTAACCTTTGTATTCTTGCTTTTCCAGACAACTACGTGGTGACAGACCATGGCTCCTGCGTTCGCTCGTGCAATACTGATACTTACGAAGTGGAAGAAAATGGTGTTCGAAAGTGTAAAAAGTGTGATGGGCTATGCAGCAAAGGTATAAAAAGCATGGAATAAACCAGTGAGGCTTTGAGATGATAGGTGACTTATTAGAAAAAATACATGGAGTTCTGACCTTAATTAAGTGCAAACTCAATAATAAATATCCAGTGATAATTTGGAGATCTGACAAGTGACCAGAAGACATGGCTGGGGAGCATGCTCTCCAGCTGGGATACACCACAAGTACAGTAGATAAACTGTGCATTGTATGCATGTGTATCTTGCACATCAGCCTTCTCCTTCATTTGTCCTTCTCAGGATCTCATCAAGGGGAATAAAATGAAAATGGGACAAAGAGAGACGAGGGCATGTGTCAGAGCCTGTGTGCAGAGATGCTCGGACCTGAGCTGCACAGCAGGACAAGCAGGAGATGTTTGTCCTGTGGTGCTTTCTGAAAAGCAAATTACGCAAAAGATCTATGAAACTCATCTTACAGTGTTAGGTTTGACTATATGGGAGTGCCTTCTGGACTAATGGCATCTTCATGTTTATTCCCTTCCACGTGATTGGGCTTCACTCTTCTCCTCTCTGACTTCTGTATCTCTCTCTTTAACAGTGTGCAACGGCATTGGAATAGGTGAACTTAAAGGGATCCTCTCCATAAACGCCACGAACATCGACTCCTTCAAAAACTGTACGAAGATCAATGGGGATGTCAGCATTCTACCAGTTGCATTTCTAGGGTGAGTTGCCTGCTGGTTGTTAGCACTGGAGGAGAAGGGCTAAGGAGAAATTCAGGCTGAGCCATTCTTTTCCCAATGCCTCATTCTGTGTTTTTCAGTGATGCCTTCACAAAGACCCTACCCTTGGACCCCAAGAAGTTGGATGTCTTCAAAACAGTCAAAGAAATATCAGGTCAGTGATGGGTTTTAAGCTGAGATAGTCTCTGATACGTTCTGACAAAAACACAAAGGGAGAGGAGGGGAATTTTTTAAGCACATGAAGTGCAAGCAATCGGTTTCTGTCTCTGAGCTACCAGGGGTCACTCTTCACTAAGGTGGTCCGCAGCGCCTTGCCAGTGTTATGCCCACATAACCCGCACTGGCCTCCCATCCAAGGTGTGTCGTTTGGCCAGACCATCCCTTATGCTGAACTGTCTGCCCTAGTGAAGCGTAAAAGCAGAGGAGATCCCCAGCCACCCAAGAAGTATGTAGTGATGCAGAGGCGTGCCACTCCGGCTAAAAAAAGCCAAGCGTGTTTCTATTTGTGGAAAACCTTTCAGCAGCTCCTTAGGGAAGTGTGCTCAGTGGCTTGCATCATCCTCGCAGAGACACCCTCTCCAGCCTGAAGAGCTCTTCCTTGGGGTGAATGTGTCTCCACAAGCACAAAGTGGCCAGCGGAGCCAAGTCTTGCACCAAGTATCAATTAAAAGTAATTGTGTTCAGCCCATTATAAAATGAGCGTAACATCAGAGCTGGGTCCACAGACGTGACTCCAGTTCCCCTTTTCTTTCTGTTTTTTACCTGTCTGGTTCCCTTCAGGGTAGCAATGACTAACCTGACAGCTTCATATGGCAGCCTGTGATTTCCCAAATTCTCCCTCTCCTCCCGAGCGCCTCGTCTGAGCAGGGAAATCTGCTTCCCTTAGCAAATCCACTCCGAGCGGCTGTCTGTTCTGCTCCCTTTCTGCTTTTCTGTTCCCTGAGGGCAGCTTGCAAATGGGACAGAGTGATGCCTTTCTCCCGCAGCCTCTCAGCCAGGGTATCTGCTAGCAAGAGCCGTCATCCCTGGCAGCTCAGTGTGGCAGGATGTGCGGCTCACTGACACAGTCATCTCTTGCACTCCTAAGCCCTCATGGTGGGCTAAGAAGTAAACTGTTTATAAAACAAGGTTTAAAAATATCTCCCTGCTCCCTAAAATGTCATGTTACAATCTGAGATTCTCTGATAAGCATAGGGAAAGCACTAACGCCTTCTCCCAGCTCAGAAGGAGCTCGAGGAGGAGGTTCTGCTGCTAATACTGACCACAGTTTTTATTATTATTATTATTATTATTATTATTATTATTATTATTTAATCTTCTTTTCTTCATTTCAGGATTTTTGTTGATTCAGGCCTGGCCCGATAATGCTACTGATCTCTATGCTTTCGAAAATCTGGAGATTATACGAGGCAGAACCAAGCAACAGTAAGTAAATCATGTGAAAGAAACTCTTTAGAGCTGTGTTTGTCTGAGCACACCAGGTACCAAGCGGTGAGACGTTGGTGTCCCCAGACTGATGCAAAATGGGAAAAGGCCTGCGAGGAGTTGAGCACCATCTTTGTGACAGTAGATAATGTGCCCTGGGGGGATGAGACCCCCAGCTCAGTGCTGCATGTGGAGGGCTGCCCTGAGTCTGCTCTAGGACCAGGCTCTCCCCCACCAGCCGGGAAGCACAAGTGGGACAGAGAGCGCTCTCTGCAGTCCAGGGCAAGTTACAATACAGGATCACAGGACCACTTTGGGATTTGAGGTAGCTGGGCAGTCGGGGATGGAGACCATGGCTGCCTAGCAGTGCAGACACCAGCAGGGCATCCAGTGCCCACCTGGGCTTACCCCGAGAGGAAGGATGGCTTGGTGGACCATCACCAACATCACTACAAACACTGTTGCACATCATTTACCTGAGAGATCGCACATGTCCTCCCAGTTTTAGCTTAAAATTCCCATGCAAAACCAGATATGAGTATTGCGCTTGTTTTACAATAGATATGTCATGTACCAGGCGTTAAGCTTAGAGGGCTGAGCAATGTCTTTCTTGAACAAAATTGGGGTGACAGCAGCACATGTTTGAAAACCAAAAGAAAAATGCGCTGAGTTAAACCCTGATTACTAATTCTTTTTCTTCTTTGTTTTTTTCTTTCTGTTCATCTCCATTTTAGTGGCCAGTATTCCCTTGCCGTTGTTAGCTTGAAAATACAGTCATTGGGGCTGCGATCCCTCAAGGAAATAAGTGACGGAGATGTTGCCATTATGAAGAACAAGAACCTCTGCTATGCTGACACCATGGACTGGCGCAGCCTGTTTGCAACTCAGAGCCAGAAAACAAAGATTATACAGAACAGAAATAAAAATGAGTGTGGTAAGTCAATGCTGCCTTCCTGCCCCCTTAAGAAGCTCATACTAAAACGCCAGAGTTATTCAAGCAAGGCTTTTTTTCTCTCTGTTCACCTGGCTGCAAAATTCATCAGTGATATTGCTTTAATGAAGGTGGTGAGGGAAAAGTGGGATTTTTTCCCACCAAGGATGTGGACTTCATGGTGTCCACCAGATGGGAAGGAGCTGCTTCACCACTATGGGCATAGTGAAGCAATGTAGGTTGAAGGACACAGAAGCTAACTCCAAACTTCTTTGACAAGGTCGAAGCTGTTGTTCGACTATGCTGTTGACTGCAGAGGTCCCTAGGCCAAAATCTAATTATTTCTCTTTTCAGAATATGAATTTGTTGTATTTTGGAAATTGATCATAGAATCACAGAATGGTTTGGGTTGGAAGAGACCTTCAAAGATCATCTATTCCAACCCCCCTGCCATGGGCAGGGACATCTTTCACTAGACCAGGTTGCTCAAAGCCCCATCCAACCTGACCTTGACCATGCCCAGGGGTGGACCATCCACAGCTTCTCTGGGCAACCTGTTCCAGTGCCTCACCACCCTCATAGTACAAAATTTCTTCTTTATGTCCAATCTAAACCTGCCCTCTTTCAGGTTAAAACCATTGCCCCTTGTCCTGTCACTACAGACATTGCTAAAAAGTCATTATAAGCCCCTTTAAGTATTGAAAGGCCGCAATAAGGTCTCCCCAGAGCCTTCTCTTCTCCAGGCTGAACAATCCCAATTCTCTCAGCCTGGTACCAGTTTAGCTTTATTACACAGCTGTTAAGCTGCCACTGAAGAGCTTGTTTTTATTTTGAAAGACCAGAGGTCACTCTTAATTTCAGGCTTTGGGAATTAAGAGAAGCAAGCTTATTCCTCTTCCACACTGCCAGGACCATCCACATTGAAGCAGGCTGGAGAAACAGGCTGGTTAGGATGGAGTCACTTGCAGTGCTGTGTTTGCCCTCTCTCCTGCCTTGACATCCATGGCCTTTTTTCTTTTCTCCTTCTCTCGCAGCTGCTGCCAGGCATGTGTGTGACCCCCTGTGCTCAGACGTGGGCTGCTGGGGCCCCGGACTGTGAAACAGTGCAATATCCTGCAAGGGTAAGGTGACTGGGGGGTGCTTGAGGTTTGGCGAGGATTTGGGGGTTTGGGGTTTTAGAGTATGTTGTAGCTAGGAAGAAAGGATTTCCCTGGCTTTGCACAGCTGTTGTGTGAGCACAGGACCTAAAAAGAGGGAAAAGCCTGGAGCTGAGATAGCTCTCCTTCCCCGTTCATCATTGCTTAGGAGTTTGGTCCTGCCACAGTGACTGCCGTGAAAACATCCCCTCAAGCCCATGAGGACTGTCCAGAGGCCCAAGGAGGCTAAGCCTTATGCTTCCTTCCCCTAAGACATAAAGGAGCTCAAAGGCCCCTGTGAAAATCCAAGCTATGCCCGTCACATCAAGCATATCGGGCAAGAGCCGGAGCCAGCTGCAGCCACTTGGGAGCTCAGTCACCCCAGGAGCCAAGGCTTCACTGCTCAGTAGGCTTCCGTACTGCAAAGGGACTCTTATATTTGCTCAAATGAGCGGCTCGCCCTTGCAATTTGCAAAGTTGCAGTCAAGGGAGAATGAGCTTTCATCCGAAAAGTACTGGGAGCAGCAATTTCAGGCAAAATTATTGCTTTGGCTTTGCTCAGGCTGAGGAAAATGTATTGCTGCCTGTGCATCAGGAAGGCGGCTCGGCTGTTTTTTTCAGTCAGCTCAACAGGTGATACAGGCATGAAAGGCATAGCTAGCACTGAAATTACACAGATTTTTTAATTTCAAAGTTTGTCTTCTAAAAATCATGAGTGTTACGCAAGTACTTGACAGGGTGGTGATGCCCCTGGTGTTTGTATTTGTCTAGCAACTTGCAGTTCAGCAGCTGCCTTTTTTGTAAGTGAATTCCCTCCAGCAGCTATTATGACCTGAAGGGCAGATCTGGGCATTTTTTGTGTCAAATGATGAGTAGATTTAGTTTAATTAATAACACCATTACTTGAAGTGGAACAGCTTTATTGCTATTGAAACCATCTGTTCCCAACTTTCATATTTTAATGATTCATTGTGTCTTGTAGGGAGGGCATGAGTTTAATTATCAGTGCATTGCTGTTTAACTTTCCTAATTATTATTTGGGGCCTTGGAACCACTTGAACAGTTTTTGCTGATCTCTTTGCATCACTACCATTTAAAAGCCTTTGGAAATCATTGCGAATATTCTGTGTCATTAGCTTAAAAGGGAAAGTAAACTAATTTGTAGTGTGCAATCTGGAGTGCCATGTGTTTCACTGTCAGCCAAATTTTCCTTACTCTTCCCTTTCCCTGGTTGTGCTGAGCAAGTGCTATTGGTGTAACCAGGAGGGTCCCCCTGTACCTCCTCCTGTCTCCATACCATCATCCCAATCTATTTAAACTGGAAAAGTCAGGAAAAGGAGAGTTGACTACAATTTATCACTTGCTAATGAGCCTAGTTTTTAATTATTTCTCTTCTTTTTGTTGTTTTCCAGGGAGCCAAGAGAGTTTGAAAGGGACTCCAAGTGCCTCCCCTGCCACCCTGAATGCCTGGTGCAAAACTCTACCATGTACAACGCAACCTGCACTGGACCTGTAAGAGCAAATTCAGCTTAGCAAACCTGCACCTCAGACCATGTATTAATACCTATTTCCCGAGTAGAGATAATCCTGAGATCTCATTTACCCTTCTCCCAGATGAAGTGGAGGTGGAGGGGCTAGAGGGCACGATCTCGGGTCAGGGGAGCAGCAACAGGAGAGGGAACCTCATGGTGTTATTTCTCTTTCATGTCACCCATCATACATGTAATCCGCAGTCACAGGTGTTGCAGGGCCTTTCTTTTTTGTGTCTTCGCGCAGGAAAAAAAAAGTAAGGCTTACTCACATATGTAATGATATAGTAATTTGGTGAACATTTCAGGAACATGTAGTTACGAACAGCCAAGTTGGCGTGAACAAGTTAGATTTCCTTATTCAGAGGGAAAGAACTGTTAAAAATGGTGGATTAAAAGAGTAGCTTTTTGCCTTTTTAAAAGGCCATGATAAAATTGTGATCAAGACAGATATTTACTGGAAAATATTCAGGAAGCAGATTTTACTTAAAACCATGTTCCCTCCTCTAACTAGGTTACAGTAAATACCTGTATTAAAGTAATTGCATGTGTAAGTTTTGTTCAAAGAAAGGCGATCAAAACAAAATGATTGGATTTTCAAACTTCTTTAAATATTCCAAGTTCATGCAGAAGCGCCTTCTACAAAAGTCAATGTCTTGCTAGTCACCCAGAGTCTCCCTCAATTTTGTTCTTCTTTTAAGAATACTCTTCTGCATTAGGAAATGTCCAGTTTGGCAGCAGTGCAAAATTATTTCCTTTTAAACTGCTCAAACTCATATCTTAATCATAAAACTCTAATTTTCTTTTTTTTTTTTTTTTGGGCGGGGGGGGAGTAATTGAAATCAAATCTCCAGCTTCCATCACAGACCCTCCTCTGCGTTCCTTAACTCTTCCAACACCTCTTGCCATCCCGTGCAGCCACTGAGTTTCAACCCTTGCCCATCATCAGTCTGCAGAGTCACTGCTCAGTAATGTGAAGCATTTCCATCTTCCCTTCTAGCTTAGACCACCATGGCCTAAGGGATATTATTAACATTATAATCTCCTTCAGGCGGTGAGCACCCCCTTGTTCCATATTTGCCCAGCATCTAGTAATCAGTCCATTAGAGTGGCCCTTAGACATTACAGTAATTAAAATGATCTTCCTATAGCATGTCCAACTGTAGTCCCACTGAAACCAGCACTGTGGATCTGGTCTGGTGTTTCTCCATATTAGAATTTGACCCAGAATTGCTGGTTTCCCTGCTTTAAAATATTTTTTATTCCTGGTGCTGTTATAGTCTGAATAAAAACAGCTCTGCCAAAAATGGCCAAAGGCAATGCCTTTAAATACAAACTAAGTGCTTTTCAAAGTAAAAAACCACATGTACTCCTTGTGTTGCCTCCTGATCTCCTGCTTCTCCCTAACAGAGGAAAGAACCTGTGCTGAGAAGCCAGTAAATAATGATTTGAGGCCAGTCCTTCAGGGAGGTGTCAGCAGGTCCAGCTCCATTGTTTTAAATTGGGTGATGGTAGATTGTACCAGGCAGCAGCCAGGCCCTCTGCTTTTTTGCTTACCACTTCTCAAGGTGTCATTAAATTATTCCCCATTTTAAATGAAAAATGTAAACTTTCCAAACAGGCAGAAGGCAGGGGGAAAAAAGCAGCAACACTGAAACTCAATAAAATATTAGCTTTAAATATCAGGTGATGCCTTTTGTACAGTCCATCCTACAAGAGAAAATCCTTTAAGAACATCAGGTAGCAAGGTAATAAAACCAGATGATGCTGAAAACTTCCAGCAGAGGAAGGCATTTAGATTTATCTTCTGAATTTCCTCCTGATTAGGCTGATGTAAGGGCATTATAAACAAGCTGGTTCTCTTTTCAGGGCCCTGACAACTGCATGAAGTGTGCCCATTTTATAGACGGCCCGCACTGTGTGAAATCCTGCCCGGCTGGGGTTCTGGGCGAGAACGACACCCTTGTCTGGAAATATGCTGACGGGAATGCTGTTTGCCAGCTCTGCCATCCAAACTGTACCCGGGGGTGAGTAAAACCTTGGGCTGAATGGAAACAGAGCAGGAGGGAAATAGGGGAACAGCTCGTCTCAAGATCTTTCCCTTCCTAACAGTCTCATTTCAAACCACCAAGAAGAAGAAATAAATAGCAGGAAGCAAGAGAGGTCGGGGTGTACTGGTAATGTAAGCAGAGCACGGTGGACTTTGTAAATAGGGAAAGTTCAGTGGCACCACTTCTTTACACAAAAAAAAAAAAAAAAAGAGGAAAAATGTTTCAGGGTGTTTGAAACAGGTTTGTTTGTTGATTTAAATAGGAAACTTCCTGGAATTTTACAGAACTCGCCCACCAGTGATGGTTTTATTTCTGGTTTATTCCCACCTGGCTTGGTGGTGGGTCCTCTGATTTTTGGGAGGAACATCAGTGACATCTGGTGGATGCTGGTCTCCCTGGGCCCATTTTTTTTTTCAGCACCTTTAATCTTTTAGGAGGAAAATCCCAGTGAGGTACCACAGTGATTTTCTTTCTTTCCTGCTTTCCATATGCTAGCGCTTGGTCTGAGTTTCAAGCCTTGCCTGCCTCCTGAGTGTGGCTTTATTGATGAGTATCACAGTAAACCCAATCTGTATGAACCGGTTTTGTCCTCATTTGGGGCCACATGTAAACCACCACCTATAACGACCTATGAATTCAACTGTGTTTAACCTACATGACAATAAGTAACAAGGCTGCAGCTGCCTCCTCTCCTGGTTTCCGACCTGCAAAGGACACAGGGTGTGCAGTAAGACGTTTTACGTTTTGAGACTCAGTTGTTGGACTGTGATGCTTTCAGAGCAAAAAAACAACCCACATTTAGTATCTTTTCCTTCGTGGGCCCCTGCCCTGTACCCTGCAGGTCTGTCTGATCCAAAATCCGTTTGTAATATGCCTGTAATATGTGTTGCAAGAGAGAAGTTATAACACCGGCCTCCAACTATATTCAGACCAGCCATCATCCCATTGTATATTTAGCGAATTCAGCTGCCAGGTCATTAAAGAGCAGAGTGCCCAGACCCCCACCTTCATGGAGAAAGGGAGATGAAGGGTTAAACCAGCAAGTAACGGCCCTTCCTAGTGCTCACAGTGAATCCAGCTCTCTGGTTTTCAGATGGTAGCCGCAACAGCCACATGGTTTGCTGTGATTTACAGCGATGCCCCCTCTGTTTCGTTACCCTTGCAGGCAAGGTTCATCAGGGCTTCCCATCACACGCCTGAGAACAAATGATCTCAGCTGAAAAGGGATCTTAATAACTTTGCTCTTTATTAATGACCTCAATAGTCCCTACTGATACAAACTGGCCACAGGGATCCAATATCCTTCTTCTAACTGGCCACATGAAAATGCAGTTGATTATTGGGAGCAGTGTAATGGGTAACCACATCTGAACAAGGCTTTCAGCTGCAGGGCCTCGGTAGCGAGATCAAACACTAAGACTCGAATGCAAACTTGGAGAACATAATCTGCCAGACATGGATGTAGCTGTGAGACACGTAGTGGCTCTTTGTGCATGAGCAAGTCCCCAGAGCAGAGTTCATCAGAAAAGTCCATTCCTGCCTGGCCTTAGCAGTGGATGGGTGTACCACAGGAGTCTGGCATGTGATGGGGGTAGGGTAAGGAGAGTTTTTTGAAAATTAGGGGTACCCAATGTATGGCTCAGTGTATTTTGCCCTGTGTAATGAAGACAGAACATAAAAAGTCGTATTGATTTCATCTCTTAAGTGAAAGAACTGGGCTAAGTTTGCCATTGTTATATTGTGGTGTGCTCAATGGCCCTGTTCGAGTTGCTGCCCAAATGCAGCAGAAGACATAGAGAGAGGCTGTACCCCTGAAGGGCTCAAGAGAGCTAAGAGAAGGTAGTGTTACTATTTTTGCTTTTCCGCTGGGCCATCTGAGGCCAATGGCATTGATGAGTAGGGAGCCAGTGTCAGAGGCATAATCTGGGAATGCGCAGTCTGGGCACAGCATTTTCCCTGTGAAGGCAATCAATCAGTAATGCCACTTACTTCTCTTCACGCCTTTCCCTCGTTGGGCTGCGGGAATGGGATCTGTTCAGCAGTGGGTGGAAAACATCTGTCTCGCAAGGTTTTTGCATCCTTAGAAACCACAGTCTCAGCGATTTCTGCATGACAAGAAACAACAACTTTATTTCTGTCCCTGTTCAATTTCACGGCTAGAGCCCACAAAATCTTATCAGCATGATTAAGTGCACAGACATCAGTAGTCATGTAAGTAAGGGTTTCCAGGATCTGGCTCTATTTTTCTTGTTTGAAGAAGCTGAAAGTAAAGAGGGCTTCTCTTCCCAGCTGACCTTTGTTACCAATTTTGGGGTTTTTTTACTTTAGGTATGCTTACTGGTAGTGCATTGCTTTCTTCGTATTGCTGTGAAGAATCCCATCTAGTCGAACTTTCTTTGCTGAGTCGTTTATTCAGCCTTCATTAGAAAACAGAAGGGAGATAGCTTTCTCCTGCTCAGCCCAAAAGGCCCCTTCTCTCCCATTTTCCCTGTAACTGCTTGGGGATTTTGTGCACTTGCTTCCTTTTGCCTCTAGTACAGCTGAAAAAATACACTCCAATAAAGACAGTGACATCCCGAAAGCCCTGGAATTACCCTGTTTATACCTCCAGCAGCTAATGAAAGACACCAGCTTGATTAATCTGCTCGTCATTGAAGGATTTGGTTTTCCCTTGCCACCCTCCCAGAGCCTGGGGATTAAATTCAGCCACAGTGAGGTGGAAGAGCACGAAGGAGAGAAGCCACAGCACTGGCTAATGCATCCTGCCTCCGCAGTCGCTGCCAACATCGCGTGTCTTGCCAGTCTTCATGTTAGACGCGACGGGATTTTGGGACAGGAAGAAAGCGGCCAGGGGGTCCAAAAGGAAAGGTTGCAGCTGCACAACACAAATGTGATGCCTTTGTCACACTGAAGGTTAATGAGAAAGAAAGGGCAGAGAAAAGTTCTTGTAAGGCTTTAAAAAGCCCAACAGTTTTCCATTTCTTTTATGACCGTGAAGTAACTTAAGGTGTTATAGTGTGAGTTCCCTCTGAAAGGCCATAAATCATAGCAACCTGGCTGTATTACATCAAATTAGGAGCTATGGATCGAGGAAAAAGCTGTTAAAGCCTTGATGGATTTGGGAAATAAATAGCTGTGTCTGTACTGGGACGAGTAATATTTATGTAGACAGATGAAATGCTGAGTTCAGGATGCAATAGTTTTCAGGGACTGTAGACAGCACTAATTTTCCAATAAGCAGAGAAATATTTCAGAGACTACAGCTGCTGCTAGATTCCATCTGATATACCTGTAAGATCTCAAGGCAGTTCATAACACAAGGTCACATTTCTCATTTTGGTTTCTGTAAGCAGAAGAAAAACGATTCAGGAATGGAAAAAGTGATTGTTTAGATTCCATAAAACCCGGGTTACTTATGTTGGGTGTCATCATAAAATTCCGCATTCAGAAAGATGGTTATATTTAGTGCTGGATGGATATTTGTCATAGGCTTTGTTTCTCCTTTGACTTGTGAAATGAATCAGAAAATCACACGGGATTTGAAAAGCACAAGCTGATCTGTCATTTTCTTCCCAAACACCTTTTTACTTTATTCCACTAGACTTGATATTGATGGATTTGTGTGGCAAATAGTTTTGAAAAAAAAAGGGGACAGATGAAAATGTACACTTGTCCTGCTTCTACTTTCTGGTATAGGAAAATAACTGGTCAATCATTCCTCAGACTGTAGATACTGTCCCCTCGGCCAATTTTTTTTGCTCTTAGGAAGCGCATTGAGGATTTGCCATCATAAAGTAGAAAGGCAAATCGGTATTTTTAGGAAGACATAATCTGAGGGACCACAGTCACATTCTGAAATAACGTGAGGTCTTTTAATTTCACATCTTTATGGGGAGAAGCTGTACATACTTTGTTGCGTTGGCATATGGAAATTCAGATCTGGGTGGTAGAGTGTGATAGGATGGGTCATAGATCTGTTTTCTGTTGAGCGCCTGAAGAGAGAAACCCGGTGCAAAGTGAGGTCCATCTCTTGCGACCGGAAGCAAGCTGGTGGCTCTGCTCTGCACGTGCAGCCTCTCTGTGCGTACTTACACAACTGAGCAAACAAACCAAGCCGTAGGCAGGCAGGGAACGCTAACAAAGCTGGGCGCCCAGGATCCGGGAACCGGTATGCACAGCACTTCCAGTGTGTCCAGAACACCGGGATGCACATTCTTGCATGGGAGCCCAGTGAACTCGCAAGACCTTCCAGATGCTGGATCTTGGAGTACTGTGTTGGCCCAGAAACAAGGCAAATACACGAGGGAAGATCAGAGTAATGAAAACAAGCAAACAAACAAAACCCCAATAAAATGAGTAGTTGCTTCACCTCTTCCTCCCCCAGACCTAGATCAAGTTATAAGATCAGCAGCTCCACCTGCCATTTTGAAATTTTTCTGGTTCTCCCTCTCAGCAAGAGGGAATTCAGAGCAGTTTTCCCGGCACAGGCTCACTCCTTACCCCCTATTTGACCTCCTCTGGAGTTGTTTTGGGATGATCCATTTTCTTTAAGTCAGCGCAGGGAGCGGATACCACAAACTGGACTTTTCTCCTTGCTGTGCTCTGTTTTTCAGAGGTGATGTAAACCTCTCTGTAATGTTCTCCTTCCTCGGTAGACACCACAAAGACCACAATTCCCATGAAGAGCATACATCTTGTAGGCCAGGAGCACTTAGGGAATGCACGGTGCCTCTCACGCCCGTTAGACCATCAAGTGAATGCAGTCACTGTGTTTTCATCTGTGTTGCTTTTTGCACTGGGCTGCCAAAATTAATTTCAGGCATTTTAAACTCAAATGGAGGGTGAATGACTTGCTAGTAGAGTTTCTGTATCTCTGCATAACTGTCGTACCTGTTTACATTACCAGTAACATAAGAGCATAGATTCTGAAAGAAAAATGTCATGGACTCATCCTAACAGACTATAGCCTAGGGGAGTGCTGTCAAATCCTGTTTTCTGATGGGAGCATGTATCTGCTACCCAAGTTTTCCATTGCAGTAGAAGTCTGGAAATTGGAATCTGTTACTTATCAGGAAATAAGGATTATGCAGAAGGGGCTGCAGTGACACGTTTCCATGTGGCTTTCTGCTCTCCTGCAGGGGAGAGGTTGCATCTGTCCTCCTCCACAGTCAGCCCTGAGCTTCTGCGCTAACGCAGATGTCCACGCAGAGCCAGGGAATTCAGGCCCATTTGAATTTTGTGTATCTGTGTCCTCCCCCCCATTCTACCACACGATAGAAAGTTGTTTTAAAATGTTCTTTAAACTGACTGTGCAGCATAACTATGCCTCTAGATAAAAGATTTTGGAGCAAGGCCATTGACTGATATTTAATAGAGTGTATGACTATTATAAATTCCTATGCTAATACTTGGGCTGCTCTGAAACACAAACTTTTCAATCAGTAGCACTCTTCTTAGTTGGAATTATAGAAGTATGTATGCCAGAGCTAATATGTTTCTAACGTTCATTTGTTTTTACAGGTGCAAAGGGCCAGGTCTTGAAGGCTGTCCAAACGGGTGAGTATTTCATCTGCTACAATTAACGACAGAGCTGGAAAGAATGCATATGTGTTTACATTTCCACACTAGACACTGCAAGGCTGGGACTAATGTTAAGTCTTTAGCTCTGTACAGGGAAGTGACAGATTAGAGCAGACTCTGACCTATAAAAATGTTTTCAAGAACTGAGAAATATTCCTACTGGCACAAGACTCCAAAACCTTGTTCTGCTTAGCTTGTTTGGCAAGGTGAGACCTGGGATCTGTTACTGGAGAACAAAAGGAGAAGCTGGAAAAACAAATTTTTAAGGGCTAGTGGCAGAGAGAGCTATGTTTAGGATTGATGTGGTTACCTGCATTACAGGGGATTCACCTCAGAGACCCAGGAGGTCTTTTCCAGCCCTGTGATCTGTACATCTCCAATCCCTCTGTGCAGAGATGGACGTTCATTCTTCACACTAGACATTACGTTGCACTGTTTGGCCTCGTGACTTGCTCAAGGTCATGCAACAAGCAAACAGGCTTCTCTGACTAAGAGAGAGGGGTTTAGTTTCTGGCCACAAAGTCATGCTATGGCAAGACAAATTCAGCCTAGCAGTACTGTTAAAAAGTGACTCTATTTAATAGTAATCCCTGGGGCAATTACAGAAAGGGCTGTGATGGGTCTTTAAGTACAGATCAAAAAACAACCTTGCAAAACAGGTTTTTCTTTTCAACTTCAATTTGAAACAACCCAGGTTCTAATAAAGAGGCAGCAATCTGTATGTACAATGTGAATGGTTCACACGTTACTTGGCCTCAGACATTTGCACTTGGGGAGGAGGGACAATGATCTGAAGTTCATTGTCACCCTTACAGCATGGCCCCCTAATAATGGTGAGATGTCAGCTTCATTGCTGGTATCACAACTGCATTTGCCTTCTTGGATATTGTCTTCTCTCCACGTGCTTCGTGTATCCGATTACATGCGGGCTGCCCATGGCTGGCATATATGTACGTCACAGATTTGATGCTCATGTCCTTGGTGGGTTTGTTGGAGGGAGGAGAAATCCCCTTGCTTAAGCTATGAGGATCAGCTCCAATTGCAAGTTTGAGAGAAGAGTGAAGACTTTGAGTAGGTTACAGGATGAGGAACTTAAAAATACAGATGCCCGAGATATCTGAAATGTCAAGTAGGCTTAAGTGGGTGTCCAGGGTGTATGTTCGACCAAATCCTAAGGCTTCATGCAACCTCTGTAGGGTTTTTTAAAAATCTTACACCTAAGCATTTTTTTTTCTCTTTCTGCATCCCCTTCCGTCTTGCAGCTCCAAAATACCATCTATTGCAGCTGGCGTCGTTGGAGGTCTCCTGTGCCTGGTGGTGGTTGGCTTGGGCATTGGCCTTTACTTGCGGAGGCGCCACATTGTCAGAAAGCGGACCCTGCGCCGGCTGCTGCAGGAGAGGGAGGTGAGCACTGCTGGCACGGCTGCAACACCAGCTGCTCTATCTGGGGCAATGGGTGCCGGCTTCATCATGCCAGTGAATTAAAGCACCATGCATCTGCCTTGTAACTCAACAAGGCCTTGGGTTGGCAAACACGGCGTCTGCCACGCTAGTTGGAAGAGAAGCAGTGTGCATGTAACACCTTCTCACTTAATCTGAAGTCTGATCCCTCTGGATATAATTTTCAAAAGATTTAAGGGATTTAGATGTCTAAATCGCAATGAAAATCATTGAGATGGCCTGTTCAGAAAAAACTATGCCTTCAGGGTGAGGTGCGATGTGTTTGCTGATCCATAGCACCTCAGCCTCAAATTGTTCTTCCTCCAGACAAGCCTTGAGGCTGCTGTGGCAGCTTGGGCGCTTTTGAAAATTTTACCCCCTTGATCAGGCGTATGTCTGATCCTGTGGAAAAAAATGAGAGAGAAAGGAGGGGAGGGGAAGGAATTGAGGAAGTGTTTGTGTCTTGTCTTTAGTTTCTTTTTAGCACAAAAAAACCACAAAGCCATCAAAGTGAATGGTTCACCTTGTTGGGCATGAAAAAGGTTTCTACACTGCTTTTTGTTTTCCGCATGGTTTTGTGTGTGTTACAGCATCACCCTCTCAGTACCTCACATATAAAATAGCAAAATTCATTATCCTGCATTAAAGCTGCTCTTTTATGATTAGCCCCCTTCTCTTTCTAGTCCAATCCTAGTAAATAATTAGCAAACGGTATTTAGCATTCTGCTAAAAGCCCAGTTGCAGCTTCCTTTTGTGCTCACTGGCTTTGCAGAGTCAGCTGCTAGGATCCTTAAAAAAAAAAGCTGTCCTTCTTTTTAATGCACTATCTAACAATATTTTACATACCACCATATTCTACAGTTGTGATAGTAGAGTTCAGTTTGTGCTCAGCTCATATTGTACCCTCTGGACTCCTCAAAATGAGGATATTTCATCACAACAGAAAGGTTGCTAGCCTGCTAGAATCAGATTGTATTTAGCTAAATATGGTTTTATTCAAAGGAAAGGAAAAAGAAAGAGCACTAAGGAAAAAGCTGACTTATGCATCAAACAGGTGTTAAGTATGTCTGTTTGGAGGGCATTACTGCTATTTGCAATAAGGCTTAGATCAATAATTTTGAAAACCTCAATAGTCAATTCAACATCTCCTTTTTGATTGAGAAGAGTCACTCTCAGAGGTTTAATTGCTGCTTGTAAGCCCTGCAGTGTGGGGGAACCACTGTACCATGGGAATTTCATCCAGTTAAACAAGAGCAGACCTGAAAGGTTGCAGGTGGATTCTTGCCCATTATTTAACACATCTTTATAAATTATTTGTAAGGTAAAAAAAAAAAAATCTTCTTTAGGATCTGTGGTAATTACATTATTCTTCATTCCATGTGTTTTGAAGCTTTGAAGTCAAAGCCTTCATTTGAACAGTAGTATTCCTTCATTCTCCTTCAAAATGGCAGTCACCACTCTGATTTTACCTCTGAAATTTGGAGCAACTCTAGATATTTATTACTGCAAGTCAGAGTGGAGTTGTCCTCCCATAAACTTACCTTGGAATAAAATGTTCATTATTTTAAAGGAAGGATTTATTTGCTTCCCCAAAGCATGCTGCTTGCCATCCTCCTAGACTGTATATCCTCCTAACATCTTCTCTCTGCACCAGCTTGTCGAACCACTGACACCCAGCGGGGAGGCACCAAATCAGGCTCATCTGAGAATTTTAAAGGAAACAGAATTTAAAAAGGTCAAAGTTTTAGGCTCTGGAGCTTTTGGCACTGTTTATAAGGTAAGATCACCATGTTTCTCTTCCCCTTTTCATCTTGCTCCCTCATGCAGAAGCCACCCAAACAAAGCATGAACTGGGAGCTGCGATCATTGTGTAGTTTTTTTTTTAAACTAATTTTTATAGCATGTATACATTGAAAGGTAGGGACATGACTCAATCATAATTAGCTGAGTTATGAATCAGGTTTTTTTTTAAAGATCTTGACTTAAAAACTACCATGGCTAAATAGACCCTGTTGTGAATATCAGGAAAAAAAGAAATGCACTTTGGTCTGCTCAATGCTAAGCCATTTTTCTGTGTGATCTGGGGTCTTGTTTTTATAATTGTCAATTGCTCTTTCATTAGAACTGACTCAGACATACAGAAGTGTCTACACACCTTCAGTTGTGTAGGCCCACAAGATATTTTTTGTCTTGGTGTTTGTTTATCCTCTTCTTCACCAAGTTTGACTTTTCTGTGCTCCTCCTTTTATTCTGGATATGTGTTTCAGGCTTTGCCAGTAGTATGGAAATACAAACTGTAGATTCATATATCTCTTTATAAAGCTCTGTGTTCTGAAGCAGGCTTCCAACTACGGCTAGGAACTTCAGGGGCATAAATTCCATTGACCTCTGAAGATGTGCACCTGCATTGCTGGGGACTTCAGCAGAGTGTCCTCGCAGTGCCACACCATTCACCTGCCACGTAAATGTCCTCCTGACACTATAGATGTAGAGCACTGAACCAGTCAGACATAAACCTACGTGCTACTGCATGTGTTTAGGACTGGATTATTTCTACAGTATAGATGCCACCTTGTTTTCATGAGAAAATGCCAATTCTTTTCCTCCCATGATTTATAAATTGGAAGTGGCAAGGTTTTGCACTTGCAGTTGCTGTGATGTGCTAATTAATCAGATTTCCATCTGCAAAAGTTGCTCTTTATGCATCTCTTGGGCTATTTATACCAGGATAGTAATGAACACGGTTTTTAAAAAAAATACGGTAGAGGTGACTGAAAGAGAAATAACACTCACACCACTAACAGGATTTTGTTAACACCCACAAGACACATTTTTTGCATATTTTTGTTGTCTGCCATGTCTTCCCATTGCTCAGAATATTTAAGTCTACTCAGAAGATGTAAAATATATATGTAATTGTGAGAATTAACCTGTTAGATACGAGACAGAGTAACTCTTTGTACTTCTTTTTGGTAGGGACTTTGGATCCCAGAAGGGGAGAAGGTTAAAATTCCTGTCGCTATTAAAGAATTGAGAGAGGCTACATCACCAAAAGCCAACAAGGAAATACTTGATGTAAGTTTTCATGTTTGTTTTGTCAGGTCCTCAGTGGTATGTGGATTTTCCTCTGTAACAACTAAAGGGATTTCAGGATTCTGGGCAGAAAGAAATATTTTGCACCCCAAACTGCATTCTCCATTTAGAAGTACTGGGCTCCGCAGCCTAGTCTGTAAAGTGCTTTTGTGTCTCCTATGAACCCCTTGCTCGCAGCCCAAATACTGATGTTATACTCGTGGGGTAGCATCTAAGAAGAGGTCAGGACCATATATTTACAGCTAATTCTGTTTTCTTTATTCTGATGTTTCAGGCCTTAAACTGTGGCATTCATTGCTGTTATGGCAGTAGAACTAAAGCCAGTAACACCATTTCTAATGACTTTTGAATCCTGACATTGCAGATTGTCATAAGCTACTTGCTTGATTACACAGGATTAAGTTAACTATAAATCCAAAAGAAAAAATATCCCAGCTGTCTGACTTCTCTGCCATGAACAGCAAGAAATTATCTCACTTCCTGGAAGAGGCAAGGGAATTTTATTCTCTTGCTTGGATACAGCTCATCACTTCAGAAAACAGGGGAAAAGGCTATGTGACATTGCTTCAGGAGTTTGTAAATGTGTGAGTTTACAACGGGTGAGCCAGAGTCCTAAATCCAAAGTTCCCTGAACTTGGAATAGCTAGAAATCTGAACTCGGTTGCTAGATCTGAAGCCATACAACATAAAGCACCAAGGATATATACTTATATACGAGAAAAGGAAAATGCTGAGTGTGGAGAGGAGGACTCAGATGTTCAGTATATGTTCAGTACAGCTTTCCTGTGCTGTGGTTCAGTCCTCAGTTATAAGAAACGTGTTGCATGTTGCGCGCACGTGTGTGTGTGTGTGTCCCACAGCCCTTCAAGCCCTGAGCTGGAGCCTGCTGGGTCACTCTGGAGGTCTGGTCAGCCCAGGGACTCCCCAGGCACCACAGTGTATTTGGTACAGATGAATTCTTTAAGCTTCTCCTAGCTATACTCATATGAGCATGCCTCTAGAAAGCATGGGTTGGAAGCCTGGATTTGGCAGGGGCTCATCTCTCAAGTGCTTCTTTGCAAAGACAGGGTGCCTGTCCCTGGTACATCCCAAAGAGACCTGAGAAGAAGTGCAGGTCCACAGCCTGGGGCAGCTGGTTTGTGTGGAAGTGATGGTCCTTCAGCCATGGGGAAAACTGTGATTTTTTTTTTTTTTGATTTTGGTAGGAACTGAACCATTTTAGCAGGAAATTTATTTTAAAAAAAAATTCCAGCTTTGGACAGCAAAGGTAGGAAGGCTCATCCCAAAGCTGGCGAAGATCTTAACAAAAGGCCAAGTCTCATAGTGAAAAGTGCCAGGATGAATGGCTGTGAACAAACCTACTTGTGCTACTGGTGATAATAAAGCACATGGGATTTTTCCAATCACCCTGAATAAACAGTGTTATTCCAATACATTACTTCAACAGGTCATGTGTTATGTACCATATTTGATACGTGTATTGCAGCAATTCAGAAGAATAGGTGGTCCATCTCTGAATATATACCGAAGCAATATCCATCCTGATTTTAGTTTAGTTAGACTCTAGGCCAGTCTCAGCCCTTCCCCAGGTCCCCAGCCCCTGTAGCCCTGGTCCCTGCCCCTCGCCTGCCTGCAGGCGGGCTGCGGTCCCTCCCTTCGCCAGCATTCCCACATTGAGGAGCTGGCAAAGATGCTGTTCAGCTGCCTGCCCTTGTTTCCCTCTTCACAGTGATAAGAAGCATAACACAGTCTTCGCAAAGGATGCTTTGAACTGAACTGCATTAAGTTCCTGTATACTGAAGGAAGGGTTAATGAATAAGCCTACAGTACTGCATCCTGCCTTCAGAGGATCAAGATATTCACATGCAGAGCAGTAGATGCAGGGACTGTGTGCTCTTGGTGGTATTCTTTTTTCAGAGCAGTTTCTGTATCATATCCCCACATTATCTTTTCTTTTCCATTGAATTAGGATGCTTAACAAAAAGCTCTTGCTTTTCTCAGTCCTGTTCATTATTCAAATGATTTGATTGGTGGAATTTGTTCTATACTTCAGAGGAAAATTTTAAAAAGAAGTCAGAGGGATGACTCAAAAAGCTCCTTCTGAAACAGATTTTTGCTACATAACCAACTTTTCAAGGTCACTGAAACCTCAGAGATAATAATGTCCAATTAAAGATTATTTGTCTTACAGAAACACGCTAGGTATAGAACAAGCACAGCAGCTTTAGCTCCCATAATCCAGGCGAGCTCTTGCTGGCTTTATTAAGGTAGGGCTAATTCAGAAGATTGTTGTTGAATACCAAGCATACTTGGAGCAGGTCAGAGCGTACCGCAGAGATTTCCAAGATAAACAGTTGAAACAAAGGCCCACTTTAACGTCTTGGGCTACTTAGAGGGACCCACGACCGCACAATAGCTCCCTTCTGCTCCCTGCGAGGAGGTGGTGGCCTATTTTACTTTGCAGTATCAAATGTAGTAGGCAGCAGCAATGCTTGGACGCTCTCCGAAAGCTGTGTGGCCCGTACGCCCACCCCTCTCTTTCAGCATCCCAGTTCTCAGCCCCCAGGTCAGCCCTGCGCAGGC